CCACCGAATAAAGCAAAGCAAAGTGTTCCATCAAGATAATCCCCACCATACTGATCTGTTAGATTCTGGAAAGATGATATACCCTGACTCAAGAAGCTGCATCCTGTTCTCCTGTATACGGAGATCTTAATCCTATAGACATGTCCTTTTGCCCCAGAAAAGCAGGTGCTGGTTTTTGCTGAACAGCAATACGTCCCTGAGATACCCCCAAAGCTCTGCTGCTTTGATGGCACATTACCTTTTCAAACAGCTATATGTAGCCACCTGCTATTGGAAACCTTTGTAGCAGTCCTCAATTCATGTATTTCTTGTTTCTCTTCAATTATTATGCGGAGTCTCTGTCATCCCATGATTCTGTCCTCATGCAATATCAATGCATGTGCTGCTTCTGAGTGTTTTCCCAGCATCTCATACGAAGTACTCGTCTTATTGGCTGTTGTTACCCAGTTTCTTTCCCCAACTCTGCCAGATACATGACTCATTTATTTTTGTGTAATGCAGTCTGGTGAGATACCCCTAAATTTAAATCCAGAGGCTTTCTGGATTTCTGTCATTTCTGATGCAGTGAGTTTCAGAGCAGTTACATGATATGGCTCGGTATAGCTTTGAGGGAGGTGGGAGGGACCAGTGACATCAATTTATTGAGCCGTAGCATCTGAGCTCTGCTGTGAGACTGAGAAGGGACACCTGGGGATGTCCTCCTGAAGAGTAACAGTTCCCCTTGCACAGTAGAATATGTAAAGTCAGTCCAGTGGGTAGAACCTTGGGGTTGTGGAGACCTGAGTTAAAGTCCTGGCTCAGCACTCATTTGACCTTGGAGTAAGTCAGTGTCTCCTCCTCTACAATAAAAGTATGCCAACAGCTGCAAGGACAAAATACCCTAAAGATAGTAAAACCTCTTCCTTGTTTTTTTTTAAGCCTAAATCTAAAGTTTTCCCCCCATTAAATTGTGCTCTTTAATTTCCCATGGGATTTCACATTAATGCACCTGTAGGTTAGTAATGATATTTCGAGGCTCCTTTGTCCACATGCAGCCATTGTAAGGTGGCTAATAATGTCACAACAGCACTACTGTAGTTTCAGGTCTGTCTTTTTGAATATGGTTTGTGTTCCAAAAAAATCCATTACGCTTGTAGTGGTTGGTGATTTGTATGCTAATTAACTGGAGAAGTTAGTTTTTAGATCTTTGCTTGATTATACATGGCCTTTTTCTGAAAACGCTCCAACATGTGCTGCACCTTTGACATTACAGTGTCAGTTCTGAGCAGTTTCCCCCCCCCCCTTCTGTTTTGTTGTGCAGCTTTCATGCTGGCGACGCAGCTGAACTCTCTGGTTGACCAGGGACACTTGGTCGCACATGCCATCTGCAAGATTAACCGGTTTATTGTTAACATCTTGAAGGATGGAAGGTAATTTTTAAAATACATTTTAATTTAACTTTTTAAGGAAATACAGAATAAAGAAAAGTAATAGGGGGAAAGGAATCAAAGGTATGATTACAAAAACACAATACTGAGGGCAATTTTGCAGATATTAAGGACAATTCTTGATTAAAATACGTGTGTATATACAGTGAAGAAGGATGGAAAGTAATTGATTGCTCTGCAATGTGTTTATACTGCTTTTTTGAAATTGTCATGTGGGATAAAACTAAACCCTTTGGGGCTGGAAATGTTGTTTATCTCCCCTTGTGGATGCAGTGCTGGGGCATGGGGGTGGTCTGGGGGCAAGGTACCGTCCTCAGACTTCTCCCCTAGGCTTTTACAACCCTAGGATTTCCCCTGCTTCTTATCTGAAGAATATTTCTATCTTAAAGTTGAATCAGGCAGTCTGCTGAGATGGCACAAGCTTCTTCTGTGCCCTGTAGAAATACTAGGTAGAGATCCTACATCAATTTCTTTCTTTGATTCATTTGATCAGGCTATTAGAGGGGAGTGGGCCATTTCAGATGGTGGGTAAAAACATGGTGACTGTGTCAAATGAAGTTCTATTCTCTGCCTTCTAATGCTGTGGATGTTCTTAAAGTTCTGTTAATGGATGCCTTAATCGTAGGGGCCATTTTCCCAGAGGATGATGATAATGCCCTGAAAAATAAAAGGAATGAATCGTCCCTGAAACAAGCACAATAAAGTAGAACATGGACATTTACTTCAAGCATACAGCCCACTTGAAAGCCTTAGATGTCCTTGTCTCTTCTGTTTTGGGAAAGAAACTTTCAAAGTTGGATCAAGGCTAGACTCTTCCTAGCATATGAAATTCAGAACCCACAGCTTCCACACATTGTACCATCTGCTACTCCAGCTGGCTGTTCCTCAGCTGCTCCCCTAGAGGAAATTTTTAGGGTGGCTACCTGGGAATCCATCTTTTCTGAAGCGTTGCAAGGTGGGTTCCTATATGCTGAAGTTGCTTTGGTTGACATCTGCCCCGGTGGCCCCATAATAACTCCCACTCAAGATGGCACAGCTTTTCAGCATTCATCTCAAGGGTATCCTCCTCAACTGATGGCCAATGAAACATTGGGCTCAATGTGAGGTTTTTTTTTCCTCATCAGTATATCGGAGAGCATCTTTTTTCCACTTAATTGTGAGTTTGTCTGGAATTATAGGATTTAAGACATATGAAAAAATATCTTTGGTGCCTGTCTACATTGCACTTCTTACCATTCAGCAACCCTTCTTGTCGGTGGTTTTAGCTTCTGTTAACACTTCTGTTAAAATTCTACTGTAAGTACATTTTTTCTTCTGTGTTGCTACCCTGGTAGCTTTGTAAGCCATGAACTGGTAGTCTGCCTCCAACTGGCTCTGGAAGTCTTTGTAAATAATTTGCATAACCCTTTCCTGTGGAGTGAGGAGGAGGCATAGCCCTTTCACTGATGAAGAGAGTCCAGTATTTCATTCTCTCTGAGCTGGCAGATTAAATGTCCATGTCATGAAAGTAAAGTCATAAACATTTATAATTAGTATGCTGAGCAGTTGCATAGATTGTGTGGTTCCTACACATAAAGTAGGAGCAGAAGGTCACAGAGATGGATCAGTGCTTGAGTCCTGGGTTGCCTTTCCCTTACTCCCCTATATTGAACTACTGCGCTATGTGCTGACTGACCTAGTTATTTTCTTTACAAGAAAAACCAGGATCCTTTTCAGTTTTAAGAGATGAAACTATGCATTAAGTTAAGTTTTTTGTTGTAAATCATCTTATTTTAAAAAAAGGAATCTTAGACCCAGAACTTTAAGAAATTATTTTTCTTAACACCTGATTTTTTAAAAATGCATCTATTTGTGACCACCCTAGATTCACATTCTCATTTTTTGTGTTTTCTGCTTGAAGCACAACATATTCTAGAATCAAAAATCTTTTAAGATCACCCTTTAGCCACAGTGAGCACTGTCTTGGTGACAATTTGCCTTGAAGTAACTGACATTGTAGAAACCAAGGCAACAATGATGTCCCTGGAGGTATGTATTTTCTCCACTTGTCCCATATTCTCAAAGAAGTTCCAGTAGCTATATCATTATGAACTAATAAGTGTCATTGTGATTTTGTTTGCCATCAGACGGCCTTTAATAAAGTGGGAACACTTGATGCTGATCTATTTGAGTCCAAAAGAGGTTAGAACTTTTTTTGCCTGTTTTATCATTTGAGACTGATGTGATGGAGCATAATAAAATGATAAGTCTGGCATTGCTGTCCCTTTCCCTGCATCTGATGTCTTCCTGTGTAATGTTTTAGCTTTGACTTGGGGTTTCAAATTATTCCATGTAAAGTTTAAAGTAACACTTTATTAATTTTGCAAGAACTGATCAGTAATCATTAGTGGGAGAGCTTGGAAACTTGCATCTTAAATGCAGAAAGAAGTGTAGCTAAATATTTCAGAGCAGTGATTGTGAGAAGTCATGCTGAAAAACACAATGGGGCTGTTTGCAACCCTACAACACTAAATTGGTGGCTCTCTTGCCATGCCTTCTTGCTTCTTTTGCTAAAATGTTCTCGCAAGAAATTATACTGGTTAGACCATTTTATCCTGTTCACCCTCTGCCATACCCTAATTCCACATATTACAGCTGTGCATAACCAAACTAACATGATTATGAAGAGAAAGGGTCTATAGTACCAGTATATATTCCAGACAGACACCAGTGTTCCAAAAATCAGAAAGTATGTACAAACACAGATTAATCAACAAAATCTATACCAACAGAAACTACTTGGACTCTGGTAGTTAACAAAGGATGTGAAATTGTTATGGTTAGAGTAGTTGCAGATGCAAGAAATTATCGCTAATGGAATTAAAAAATATGCTGCAAAATGCTGACAGGATGGGTAAAGGAATTATTTCACAATTGTACTGTGCTGTGTTTAAAGAATCACAAGTAACAAAGGCACCATATATGGAAAAGTGGGGGAAATTGTTAAACTTGGAAATAGCATGGGAGGATTGGCAGACAATTTGCTCAAATGTTTCCAGTAGTTCTTTTAAATTTCTCAATTTTTGGTATGTAACTCCAAG